ACAGGTGATCTGTCAGAAATGTGTTGGGGAGCCGTTTTGATGCGTCGTCGTGTAGTTCACATATAATGACTGGCGACTGCCGATCGATCACAGATTTACCACAGCCCGACGGTCACCGAGCTCGCCGACCGGCAAATTGGGCTTAAAATTGTATAGTGTAAACTAGGCTTAAGTCTTTATTCTGATATTTCCAGAGTCCTCTGTGTGTTCTGTGGCCGTGTGTGCTGGATCTGGGGCCTCAGTACTGAATGGAGTCCAGGCCGACCTCTATATCACAGGTAGATATTAAGTAAAAATCCAATGTAGGTTTCATTCAAAATAATTGTATATGCCTGATATTATTCATTTTACTATCAATTTATTTCCTTGACATTGTAATGCCTGCTGATGTAATTATTCTATCCATTGTTCAGGTGAGATGTCCCACCATGAAGTGCTGGATGCCGTTGCAAAGGGAACTAGCGTTCTCCTCAGTGACCACAGCAACAGCGAGCGGGGATTTCTGACCGTGTTCAGGGAGAAGCTGGCTGTGCGTCTCCCTGAGAGTGTAACAGTGGTAGTGTCGAAGGCTGACAGAGATCCTCTGGAGGTGGTCTGACTGACTTCGAGCTACAGTTGCACTAGTTGTCTGTTGGATACATTTTCACTGTTTTGACTGGATAAAATTGACGATATTACAAAAACACTGTCTGCTTTTTCTAAGGGTACAATTCAAATTGATGTGTGTGACAACACATGATTGCATAAAAACCCTATTTTCCATGCAGGCTCTTTATGTAAGGCTATCTAGTGACTGTAAAACAGTAGCAGTAGCTAAAACAGTATTTCAGTGTATCTGCGCCTCATGTAATGATGAAAAGTGCTTCCTTGGTTGATGGTGTACTATTTATCTACTATTTATCATGTATTTCTGGCAGGCTCTTAATAAAACTGGGTTTTGGGTGATAAAAAAAATGTAGGCGTGCATCCTCAGCCCACAAATGTGCACAGTGAGAGCCGAAGATCAAGTATGTAATCTGAATGCATGTGTCTTATGCATGCAGAGGATTTATTTACGGAAAACAGATGGCAACCAAAGAGTAATCCTTGGGAGATTAAAAGGCTTGTGCCGTCAAAAACATGCTGGAGGAAATCGGACAAGTTCCTGTGATGCAGGAATTGTTCAAACAGCAGGAACACCTGCACCAATCTGAGCTAAATGATGAAAATGTAAAGGCAAATACTTCTTATGATAGCGTATAAAATGCACTCATCAGAAAATAAATCAACTGTTTTTACAATGACCTGACCTTTAGACCTCAGGGAGCTAACAAAGGTGGATATCAAACCACTTAGCACATACATGTCAAAGAGCAGTCCTATGGTAATTCTTAATGCACTGTAAACAGCAAACACTAGCTTCCCCCACTCCAGTAATGGCAAAACAAGTAATTGTCATCTTTGGCTGTTACAGAGTCTGTTTGCTGCAGCGCCTGCGACACACCTGTTAAGCTCGTAAAAACATTAAGAGACGTCACACACACCTTGCTGCCCCCATCAAGGTAATGACCTTTCTCTCAGTGTGGCGTTCACACCTCCACTTCCTCTCAGTCCCCCTTCGCTTTTATCCTCCTCCTGACACACACACACACGTGGATGCATACAAATGGAGAAGGAAAACAACAACTAGAACAACATTTATACTTCGCTCCTGTGAAGTGACTCCAGCTGTGACTCTTTATTTTGGGAGAAACGTCAGGTAGATTTTGGCTTCTCTTCTTCCCTTTTCTGAGTATTGATCCTCGCATGATGATGCGAACATGACATCTCCGACCCAGATAAAACCACACAGTTTATCCTGTTCGATTATTTAATTTACAATGGCTCGAATCATGATGTAACTGTATAATCTGCTAAAGAATCAACCAACAAGAGTCTGGTTCTTGCATACTAAAACCTTTAATGAGGATTTGTTGTGACCATTATCACTTCAAGGAACAGAAGCAGAATGGGGAACGTGTTGATTTATGGCCATTAAATCAACAGCCACAAAATAAAAAAAGAGAAAACCAGTGCTTTTGTCCTGCTCACTGCCTGTTGAATCTTTCTCAAACCCTTTTGCAACTTGTTTACATACATCTTATTGCATTTTCTCTTTCCGCTTCACATTTTGCACTGATTAGACACTTATTTCCTCATATCGAGTGGTGGAATGTAATTAAGTAGATTCACTTAAGTATTGCACTGAAGTACAAGTTTAAAGTGTTTAGCTACATTCTTCGGCTTCACTACATTTCAGTGGGAAATAATGTACTTTAACCCTTTCACAAACAAAACACATGAGCAGTTTATAAAATACAACATATTGCTATAGGTTACATTACCCCAAACTCATTCGAATTTGTTCCCTCTGGACCAGCTACAACATTAAAACGCTGCTTAAATGTTAATGCATCTGTAATAATTAATCCAGTAATATTATACAGATTACAGCCCTGTTTCCAAAAAATATTGCCATGCTGTGTAAAATGTGCTAAACATTGTAACCCCATGCTTAAATTGAAAAAGACAATTTATCAAATGTTTAAACTGAAAATGTTATTGTTTTTGGATAATTATATGCCCATTTAGAATTAGATGCCAGCAACATGCTTCAAAAAAGTTGGGACAGTGGCAACAAAAGACAAGAAAAGAAAAGGAAAAAAAACCTTGTGGACATCTCACAATTAATTAAGTCAACTGGCAACAAGTTAGTAACTTAATTTGGTATGAAAAAAAGAGTCAATTCAATTCAAATTAGCTTTATTGGCATGAATGTGTAACAACAATATTGCCAAAGCATCATACAAACTACATAAGAACAATCAACCTCATACATTTCATTACACACAAGTAATTAAAGCGTAAAGTAATTAAAGTGTGTGTGTGTTTGTCTTTTTCAGTCTTTCTAAAGTAAAGATGGGGAGGGGTTCACAACTTTGCTGGCAAAAGGTTAGTTAATTTAAGAATAATGTTTCTCAATGTAAAATTGCAAAGAGGACTTCACCTACAGTACATTATTTTAAATAATTGAGAGAATCAGATAATATCTGTACGCAAGGCCAAAAACCAATAATGGATGGCTGTGACCTTCGGGCCCTCAGACGGCACTGCATCAAAAACAGACACAGTTCATGACTGCATCCACAAATGCAAGTTGAAACCGAGACCTTATATAAACCAGATCCAGAAATCCACCTTCTGTGGGCCTGAGCTCATTTAAGATGGACTGAGGCAAAGTGGAAAACTGTCCTGTGGACTTACGAGTCAAAATTTTAAAGTCTGTTTGGAGATCATGGACCCCACGTCCTCCAGGCTAAAGAGGAAAGAGACTATCCGGCTTGTTGTTAGTGCACAGTGTAAAAGTTAGCATCCGTGATGGTATAGAAGTACACGCGTCGTGAAGATCCTGGGGGATCAATAAAGTATTCTGATTCTGGAGGAATTTCAGAGCAACATACACTGCCAAGTAGATGACATCTTTTTCAGGGACAGACTTGCTTATTTCATCAAGACAATGTCAAACCACATTCTGCACGTATTGCAGAAGCATGGCTCTGTAGTAAGAGTTCAGGCACTTAACTATCCTGCCTGCAGTCCCGACTTGTCACCTATTGAAAATGTATGGCACATTATGAAATGTAAAATCTGACAAAGGAGAACCCGAACTGTTGAGCAGGTGAAAACCAAGAATGGGAAAACGTTCCAATTTCCAGATTACATCAGTTGGTGTCCTCTTACAGAGAGTTGTTAAAAGAAGAGGTAATGCAACACAGTGGTGAACATGACCCTGTCCCAACTTTCTTGAAACGTGTTGCTGGCATCAAATTCAAAATGAGCATATCATTTTCCAAAAACAATGCATTTTCCAGTTGTTTTTGTGCTACTTTCAATTAAATATAGGGTTTCAATCTTTTGCACATCATCACATTTTATTTACATTTTATACAGTGTGCCAACTTTTTTGGAAATGGGGTTGTAATATGACACCAACAGGAGAGAATCTGCTACATAATGAGTACTTTTACTTTAAGTACATTTTGATAATAATACTTCTGTACTTTAGCTTAACATATATATTGTATATTCTCACACTGTGATATATTTACTTAAGCAAAGGATCTGAATATCCACCACAACTCATACTAAGTAATTGACTTGTCTGGTACCACCAACAGAGGTTTTGTCTATGTGGTCCACATTTGGTGTTTTATTGTTTTTTACCTGGCGATCCTGTCTGCTCACCAAACCTCCCTCACAAGAATCGATTCATTCAGCAGTTGGAATCATAAATATTCCAGGAGATGCTTGACCCAGAATTAGCTGTAATAATGAGCTTACACCTGAATTCAAGCTTCTCATACAAACTTCTAGACACTTATGTTTGTGTTGTGGCCAAATTGCAGCCGTGGGCTAAACTGTCTTCCTCTTCCACATTCTTTTAAGGCCTGACTCCCCGCTGAGAAAGCCTAATAGACAGACTGTTGAGAGGAAGAAACAAGTCATCAGGTCGTCAAACAGCCACAGGGGACCTGCCAGTAAACTTCTAGATTTCTATGTATGTGTGGGGGGGCATTTGAAATTTGAGTAGCATTTCCCAGAATTATTAAATTAATCACAGAAAATCTGGACAGTAAGATTACAAATAGCACCCCCCCACACACACACACAATGAAAAATTAGTCAGTTACTAATCAAAGAAAGTACTGCAACAAAATGTACTTAAAAAGTACCATTTATAGTGTGTTATTTAATTGTTGATGCATTCATGCATAAGCATTCATGTTTGGGTAATTAAACTTGACAATACATATTTTATAAGTTGATTTTATGTTTTCTATGTAAAATGCTTATCTACAAAGTATCTAGTAACTTTAGCTGTAAAATAATATTAGTGAAGTAAAAAGCAGTATTTACCTCTGAAATCTAATGAAAAAAATATAACGCACTATAAAATGGAAATACTCAAAACAGTACTTGAGTAAAGGTACTTAACTCTAACATAAAAAAACACAAATAACATAACTTTTCCTACCAGACACTAAAGGAAACCCTATATTTGAGTGTTTGTGTTTGTGCAGCAGGGACAGAAGGGAAGATGAGGGAATAGTGAGGAGAGACAGGGAGGGAAATGAAGAGCAGTGTGAACAAAAAGGGGGCCATTTGGCCTTATGTGTGAAACTCCACACACCTATTTAATAGAGCAAGTCACAGCTGTGGGCACATTTAGAAAAGAACAGCAGAGGGATAAGAACAGAAATACAGGCAAGAAAGAACAGAACACTTTAAGACAAAGTCTCCTGTAAAGCAGAATATTGATATCACCTAGTTACCTAAATCTGTACAAGGAAACAGAGGAGGAGACAAACAGAGTTGAGGAGGGAAATGTTCCTTTGTAGCAGGTGAAGAGGGCGAGCAAAGGGACAAACAAGGACAATGCTGAGCATGGAGATGTACCCCAGTTTGACTATGGGACCACAAAGGATTGGAGACTGCTTTTACAGAGGTGAGAGGAGCGTGTGGAGAGACTGGGCATCCATGAAAAAAATGCTTTAGACAGTTTTCTTTTAAAATCTTGAATGGTTATCCAATATTCTAATTGTGTACTTTTGAAATACTAAAGTAACCCAGGTTTGTGTCATTTAATGAGTAGTCAGGTTCCTCTTATGGGTGTGGCTATAACCATCTCCCAAGCAATGCAACACAGAAGTGTGTACATAATTTTTCACAAAAGCAAAATATTGAGAATATTATCAAGAAATTATATAAACATAGAAAGGGCCAAAACAAAATGAAACTGGTCAGAGTGAGTTACATTTTGGAAAACCATGGGACTTAAATCACCCTTGAGGAAGGGAGGATTGATAATCCATAGTGAACCATTAAAATACTAACAAATATATATTGAACCATTTAACAGCTAACAACCATCATTTAGCAAAGTCAGCGGGCATGATGGGGCATCTGTGTGCAACCTTTAGACCGGCTATGCTCCAAGACAACTCTTGAATTGGAGAGTAGTGGCAGTACTACTTTGTACCTTAAGACATTTGATTCATTTAGCTTTGATGAAACATTAACGGCATTAAAATATTTTAACATGAGAGATATTGGATTCACACGTTTATTTGTTTAGTTGCTTGTCAGCCAGATGTATTTTTTTGAGTGATTGAGTAATTGGTCCTTGGGTTTGTCCAACTGATGACTCACAGGTACAATGCAAAAATATGAAATATATGCATCTGTATTTGCTTCATTTCAACTATTTTATCCTAGATTTGTGTGTTCCCACAGACCGACAGGCTCCAGCCCACATGCCGTTGTTCCCCACTGCCTGTGACATGGCGGCCAAAGCCCTGCCACCGAGGGTGCTGGCCCCTCCCCCTGTCCCCAACGAGCCTGCCACCAAAACCCCAAAAGATGAGGTGAGGATGGAGCTGGAGAACGCGTCTTTATGGAAACAGTTCAGCTCGGTGGGCACAGAGATGATCATCACAAAGAAGGGCAGGTGAGAGAATATAGTGCACTGACCTTTGACCCAACTCTCTGTCTCTATCTAAACGTTTAATCCGCCTGTAGTTACCATTCAGCTAATGTCCTCTCTTAAATCCTTTCTGCTTTTTGTCCACTTCCTTTCAAGTTTCCTATAAAGTAGGCCTACATTTCCTCTCTCTGCTCTCAACATGAACTGCTACTGTGTAGTTTAAAAGGCAGAGTAGGCTACTGGATAAAATACAGCCTTAAACAGCACATACATTAATACATGGGATGAACAAGCTGCCCATTAGAGAACCTACTAAAAGTTGATCTAACTTTTGTCCACTGTCCCTCCTTCTCATAGACGAATGTTCCCCGGGCTGAGGTTGAAGCTCTCAGGCCTGAACCCATCTCTCCGTTACATCCTCCTCCTGGACATCATCCCGGCAGACAACTCCCGTTACCGTTTCCAAGGGGGTGGCTGGCAGGCTGTTGGCGGGGCAGAAGCGAGGCTACCAGACCGCGTTTTCATCCACCCAGACTCACCTGCCACGGGCTCTCACTGGCAGGGCCGCACCATCTCCTTTCACTACGCCAAGCTCACCAACAACACACTGGACACACAGGGACATGTAAGTACTGCAGACGGACTGACCCAGCACAAATACAGTACAAAACCATCACTGGTAGATTTTATCTTTATGATGTATTTTGAGTCAATCAATTTTCTTTTTTTTTTCAGATAATCCTGCACTCGCTGCATCGCTACCAGCCCAGACTTCATGTAATTGAAGCCAGAGACATGCTGAGGTGGGGCGGAGGGCAGCACTCCTTCGTTTTCCCTGAGACCCAGTTTATCACAGTCACTGCCTACCAGAACAACAAGGTGACATAATGCTACATTTATTTATCAAAAAAAGGCTAATGATTCTGTCCAAAATAACTTGCAGTGACTCTCTACGCACCACGTCACGAAAAGCAGAGTCGCAGAGCCCTGACCATATTTCTTTGAGCAATACTAGATATATATATATATAGAAGATTCGGTGCAAGGTCAAGAAAATGGGAGCAAAGAACAGAAATAGAGAGAATGTAAACTGGCTGTAAACATTTTGTTGGTTTTTTTTCAGATCACAGAGCTAAAGATCAATTCCAACCCCTTTGCTAAAGGCTTCCGAGAGGACGGCATGAACAGCAAAAAGTAATTCACAACAAATGTCCACACAGAAACACACATACAGATGCATACACTTCACCTCTTGTGTGATGCATGTTGTGGAGGATTTACACTCCTTTTCTTTTTCCTCTGCAGACAAAGAGATGCAAGACAGAAGCGCAAAATACCTGACTTGACAGAAACCTTGGATATCGGTGAGTTGGATTACCAGACTTATGCCACTTTAAGTCATTACCTTATTTTGATGTGACTGTTACTCCCTACAGTGCATTGAATTGCCATATTCTAACACTTTTCTATCTGTCTCTCTTAGTGAACTGTGACCCATGCGACTCTACTGAGCTTCTGCCGCAACCCATAACCACCACTACCACCAGCACAGACCTGCAGGCCCTCGCTCTGGCCTCTATGCCACCACTGCCTGACCCCTCCTGCGGGTTCAGACCAGAGGAGGCCTCCTATCAGGACACGCTGGTCCCGCAGCATGCGCTAGACCTCGGCCATGCATTCATAGCATCCCAGATGTCTGATATCAGCATCTCCATGGCTGGTGGGATGCAGGAAAGAGTGGGAGGCGAGGTGGCAAATAGTATGATTGAACGGTAGGTGTGCAGAAAGAGAATGCTCTAATTCACACATGCATACACTTTCACAGGTAGAACATAGTAGGTCTAATGTTCTCCTGACATATTCAGTCTAATTTCTTCATTATTCTTGTATAAATTAAACACCTTATTGCACTGTGTATGTTTTTATCATATAATCACTGAACATATTTTATTAGTGTATATACATTTTGGGAAATAATTTTATCTGCTTTCTTGCTGAGAGTGGGACAGGAAGATCGATACTGTTCTTGTGTGTTGGCTACATCTTAGGCTATAGCCAGGAGACAGTTAGCGTAGCTTAGCACAGAGACTGGATGTAAAGGGAAACAGCTAGCCTGGCTCTTGGCCACTGTTCAAGGGTGGCGTATTGTCATCACTGGCGATGATGACTTCAAAAGATATAACGTCGTAATTAGTGAGCTTTAGAGGTGCTGGTTGGCTGATTTCATTACCTTTGGACAGAACCAGGCTAGCTGTTTCCCCCTGTTTCCAGTCTTTATGCTAAGCTAAGCTAAGCTAAGTTAATCAATCAAGCAACTAGTCTTTTCATCACTAAAATATATCTCTGTTTCTTTTCCTCTCCACAGATCAGACACTACAGCTTACACCTCCAACTTCACTGATGCTCAGGCCAACTCCTGTTTCCCCTCAGCTCCTCTTCCTCCATCATCCTCCTCCTTCTCCTCCCTTCCCACCCCCGACTCTTCCGATATTTCCGATCCTCAGCCCTCCATCCCTCCTATCGACTATCCCACCATTCTTTCCTCCTCCCCCACGCTCTCCTCCTCTTCCTCCTCCACCACTCCCTTACTGCAGCAGACCTCCTTCACCTTCCCCACTCCGCCTCCTTCTAACTCCTCCTCACCACAGCCACTCCTGTCCTCCTCTTCCCCCTCTGCTAACACTTATCACACCATCCCAGAGGCAATCAGCCCCCATACACCCACAGATGCCTCTTTTCCTGCCCTAGATTCCACATTTCAGTCAGGTCTGCAGGACCAAATATCAGCTGACTCTCTGCTCACCCAACCTGGTCAGCCGATGCAGGGTGAACCTGTTGCCAGCGGAAATGATGCGCCCAGCGATCAAAGCTCAGCAGCATTTATCTATCCAAATAACTTTCATGCAAATCCTAATCCTGCTCCAATTACCACACAGCCTCTCCCCAACAAAAACCACCCACTGGCTTCAAGTCTGCCATACTCTCTACCCACTCATGGTGCCCCCTCATCTTTTGCCTTCCCCTCTTTCCCACCACACATGCAAAATCTGTCATTTGCGAATGTGCCTCCCAGCTCTGCCCACCCTGCCCTGCACCTCCAAAACCTGAGCCACCAATCCCAAGCTCCTTTCCCACCCTCCTCCTTCGCTCATCCATCATCCTCCATTCCTCACCCTCCTTTCCAACCCTCCTCTTGCTTGGCTGTCTCCTCGTCTTTCCAGCAGTCTGTCACCTCTGCTCCTTCAATGACACAAACAGCCCATCCTCAAAACCTGCCCAATCCCCGTACTTCCTCCTGCCCCTCCTCTTACCCTCCAGTTGAAATGGGTGCCATCCCACAGTTCAATCAAGCATCCCCCTACCGCCCAGAGATGGTTCTGCACCACCCGTCTCTTCTCCCTCCGCTGGATCCATCACTCCCCTCCAGTCTTCCCTCCTCCACCCCTCCCCCAGCCCTCTACCCCGCCTTTCCGTCCTACTCTCTCAGGCTTTGTCAGGACCCTCACTCACCGCTCTCCATCCCGTTCAGGCATCTGTACCGGCAACACCAGCATGGCCACGCCCACCCCCAAGGGTCCTACCTGGATATGAGCACAAGAGCTGTGTTTTAAAACATAGGAAAGTTAATGTTGACTAAATGTTTTGGCTTGATAGCGCTTTTAGTTTTTTTCATCAATGTGTAGCATTACTTTAAGTAGCATAACGTGTGTGACTTTGTGTGTGTGTGTGTGTGTGTGTGTGTGTGTGTGTGTATGTCTTCCCAATAATTCAGCTGATAAACAGGTTAATGAATTTTAACCAATTTGTAAATAGCTGTTGAAGATTTTCTTTTCAAATATCCATTCCAGTGTGAAAAATAAAATAAAAATGTCTCATGTTTCAGGCTTTTGTGATTAATTTATTTTCAACTGTAACAGTGAACCAGCTTAGTGACTATATAGAATTAAAATGGGGTTCTCTGTATTTGCTAGCATGTAGATCTTTCAGTTAATGTTCAGATGTTAAAGGTTTGGGAAATATGATAAATCGCTTTTTCTTGCCAAGAGTTAGCTGATAAGATTGACACCGCTCTCAGACAGTAGAGTGGTATCGATCTTCTCACCTAAATCTCGACAAGAATTTTTCCCTAAATGACAAACTTTTCCTTTAATTTAGACAGTTGCCACTTTTACCTACAAGAAGAGCATGCTTTTGTTCACCAAACTGCTTCAGATGGACAGTAGTTTTCATATTTAAATTATGACAGGCCAGATGAAATAAAGGCTTTTTACCAGATTGTCATGATTGTCTTGGACTTCTTTTAATTTCTGCATGATTACTTGAATGTCTCAGGAGCCCCCAAGCCTTTAAAGTTGGGAATGACAGCATCAATCATGTTGTGATTTATTAGAATTTTCCTTTTCATTTCAAATATTTTCATATTTTCAATAAAGATTTGAGTGGCCTGCGTGTAAAGTTAGAGGACTTTTAGTCTGTCATGTCAGAGATATATGACAAGGATGGCAGCAGGCAGCGGTTAATCATTTCCTCTCCTGGCTGCTTTGCTTGGTCTTTTTGGCAAAAAGATCTCAAAATACAACTGACCTCTCTGAATCTTTAATCACAGCCTATGATAGCCTTTTATAGCCTAATTTATTCCAAAGTGAAAAAAGCCAGATTTAACAAGACAAATGTTTTATACATGACAAAGTGAGCTTTTGATGTCCATTAGGTTTACGCAAAACCAAGTGAACCCTTGTGGGTTAATGCTAAGGGTCAACTCGATGTTTGCTCAAATTTCCAAGTAGTCACTTATTAACCAGTGAGAAACCCAAAAGATGAAGAATTTTACTGCTCCACTCACAAACCCCCCAAATTGCACCTGCTTAGCTTCATCATTTAAGTCTTCTGAGTGTCACGTTTAGGAAAGAGGGTAAGGTGTTTCTACTGACTTCTTTCTTTTGCAATTTTATTGTCTGTTTCAGGTGTGTTTGTTGCTTTTGGAGTAGCCTAACTCAAAGTGTCCTGACTCCTGGCTTTTACTTACTGATCTCCTTAAGTGTTGTTTTTAAAAAAGAAACTAGTTTTTCTATGATTGATACAAATTTTGCTGCTATTCTTGCCTTCTCCTTCTCAGGTTCTGACATGAGAGGACCTCACGTCTTCCCGAGCTGACCACTCAGGCTCTGACAATCTGGATCAATGTATTTCTGTTTAATGCGCATTTCAGAGACGGTACACACTTCAAAATAACAACAAAGGAAGATTTATACAAACAATTCAAATCACTGAGACACCAGAAACAAGCTGCGTCAGTAACATACAAGCACACACACACTGTTAGAGATGATGATGTCCTGTCGTTTGCGTCCCTCACTCCCTCATCTCTTGTCGCTGAGGCTACTGAGTACTGCGGCCTCCAGGACGGTGGAGGTCAAGCAGCCCGACCTTCTGTCAACGCCTCTGGCTTTTGAGGATCCCAGTGCCTTCAGGGTGAAGAGTTTGGGTGAGCTGCTCCGTGCTCTGGGTATCTTCCACCTCTGCTCCTTCCCTGCACTGGTTAACAACTGTGGGAAGGTAAGACTTGAGTTCGCCACTCATGATAATTTTTTGGAAGAAAATCAGATGAATAAGTAAGGAGTAAATGGAGGAAAGACTGAGTGAGGCATTAACATGAATGTTGTCAAAGCACTGACTGTGTGTTGGGATGAATGATTTATAAATATATTATTCATATTATTGATACATAATATCACATTTACATATACATTTTAATCATATCTATGATATATACTATATCTATGATATTTTATCATCATTTTTGTGTAAATATATATTTATATATCCTTTATATTTAACCCATGCAATTATCCATTTCTATTATCCATCTACATCTGTGTAAGTGAAAGGTGTACATAGTGTAAAATCATTTTTGTTTTTATTTATCTCTCAATCACTCTTTTCTTTTGACTTGAGCTGCTGTAACAAGCAAATTTCCCCGGTTTGGTATCTGTAATGTTTATCTTATCTGATTCCTTATTTTTATTGTCAAAAGGATACATAAGGCAGGATTGTAGGTGACCATGTCCAGTATCCCTCCTCTTCCATGTCACACATAGACAAACAACTAGTCAGACTCACACGTAAGCTGCATGTCTTTGGACGGTGCGGGAAAGCCAGCGCACCCAGAGAGAACCCACGGGGAACATGCAAACTAACTCCACACAGAAAGGCGGGGGCAACCAGGGTTTGAACCCACCACCTTCTTGCTGTAAGGCCACAGCGCTATCCACCGAACCACCATGCCCCATCCACTTCCATCTTCCTTATATTCTTCTTATCTTCTTCTTTTAGTTGATGTCTGCATCACGCACCCTCCTGGGGAAGAGGGGGTTTTCCTTGCTGCTGCGGCCCACTGTGTATGCCCAGTTTGTGGCCGGAGAGAACGAGATTGAGATCTCTCAGTCCATGGAGAAGATGAGCTCGCTGGGACTCAGGCCCATGCTGGCAGTACCAATCGAGGAGGATCTGGGAGAAAGCACTGGGTAAGACACATTTTTAATAAGGCAGTGTGCTCAGACTCCTTTTCATCAGTTGGATCAGTTGTAAAAGAAGTGGAGGAATAAATATTTGTCTAATCTTAGTTTTAATCATATCTGATCTTGACTTTTACTTAATTTACGTAATTTATGCACCAGCTGACCAGATTTTCTCAAAACACTATTTTAGAAAAGAGATGAACAAAACCAAAAACATCAAAATCATAACAGGTGAATGCACAATGACATTTCACAAAACATTTAAATCAATGGAAGCTGATTATGCTCAAAGAAAACTAGAGGATGGAAGAAATAGCGGTGCACTGGTTTTTGCTCCAGTGTGCTCCCCTCATGGGCAGTCACACTGATGTGCTCACATTGATGTGGTCACGCACGCCCTCCTAGGATGTCAATCACATATTGCTTAATACATTTGGCAGATAACATGTGAAAACCTGTTGATAGCCTGTTGGTTTGTGAGTGTAAGTTCCACAGTGCTGTTGTCTTCACTATGTGGTAACAAAGTGTGGTCTTGCCTGTGCGGTTGCCTGTTAAATCGATTATTTTTGCAAATGAGGTGCTGATTCAGGAAGTCTACTGTTTTTTAAGGGCTGGAATTTACGTTACGCCAGTGCTGATTAATGACGCAAAGATAGATAGAGATTATTTGTTTCAGCTACCACAAATCAGCCTATGTAAGACTCTGTATCTGAAGTGAAGCACATAAGGCCAAAATGAGGACCTCTCTCCCAGTTTGACATGTTGCTCCTCAGCTCCACTAGAAACACAAATCTCTGCCCTGCTCTTTTAAAGTGAATTACTCTTGCATGTTGAAAAGTGATGTGCATTATTTTGTTTTTTGCATCTATCTCCAGAGAGAAGAGATATGAGGACAATATGGAGGCCATGTTGGAATGTGTACGAATGTCCCACAGCAACGCTTGGAGTAAAGACCCGATGATGCAGCTGAAGATCACAGCCCTGCTCAGCCCGGAGCTGTGTGTAAGGCAACGTTTTCCATCTCAGAGTCACCATTCATAAAGTTTGTAGAAAATCTCTCCCCAGGCCATTTTCAATTTAACTGCTTCTAACATATTTACTGTAAATTAGATGTCATTATGCAGAGATGTCAAGAAAGACATTTTTGATAAACTTTGAAATGGTAGTTCAGAGCATTTTGGTTAAACGTGAAACGCTTGTGAATGTTCCAGGTTTTTGAGTTGATGAGAACCCTGACACACTGTGTGGTGGACCTGAGCCTTACAGCAGTTCAATGTAGTTCAAATGCGTGGGAAACAAAGATAAGAGTCCACATTTTAGTGTTTGATGTGTGCACAGCTGTTCCGGCTTTTTCTTGAATGTCCATCCCAGTGTCTACTCTTTCTTTTTATTCAGCGTAGAAATTGTCTCTTTCTTCTCACTGATGAGCGTGTGTTGCTTGTATCAAGGTGAAACTCACGACCCTCATCGCACAACAACCATACGACCTGAATCTCCTTGTCAGAGCTATGGATGGAGAGGTGCGTCAGAAGCAAACCAAAATAACCCAGTTTGACAGATGTCTTCGTTTTCCCCAGTTCATATTTACATTAAATTGTACAGTGTTGGTGAGGGGGATGCTGTTAAATGATATGTTGAATGACCTCTGCCTCTTTCAGCCAATCAGCTTCCTTGGTTTAGATGAAAGAGAAGTTGCCCATTTCCTCTGTGGCCTGCAGAGACTCAACACAATAGCAGAGGTACAGATGTGAAGGCCCCTGGAAATGTATATTACATGGGAGAATTGCATCAAAGTGATATTATTGTGAAATTCTTAATTATTAGTTACTTGAATTGTTGTGACTATTTATTTTTAAGCTCTAAGACTTTACTGTGCTAGTTTTAATGCAGTCATTTAAATAAGTATAGAGACCAAAGTATTATATATTATTACTCATTTTATATTATAAAGATTTATTGTGGGTTCTTTTAGGCAAGTGTGAACAAAGTCAGAGTCCTGGTTGATGCCGAGTACACATACATGAACCCCGCCCTCTCTCTTGTCACAATGGCGATGATGAAGAAGTTTAACAAAGATGGCGCCTGGATTTGGAACACATATCAGTGTTACCTGAAGGCAAATATGTTTTTCATTTTTACAAATATCAAAATATTTATTTTAATTGCACTGAATACCATAAGATCAGTAGTTTTGTTCTATAAAGGAGCCATCATCAAATACTCCCATCAATGTCTGTGTCTTTCAGGAGTCCAGGTCCCTCCTGTTAGAAGCTCTGCGTCTGTCCCAGGATGAGAGTTTCTGTCTGGGGGTCAAGCTGGTAAGAGGAGCATACATGGACAAAGAGAGGAGGCTGGCAGAGAAAGAGGGTCGTCTAGATCCGGTCCACCAGTGCTGGGAAGACACCAATGACAGGTGGATAAGAGGCAGCCGTCATTTATCACAACCAGGCAAATGCATCTGGACAACTATAAAAAATAAACTACATGAAACACTTCAAACACTAGATTTATTTCAAAACATTTTTATCTGCTGCATTAATGGGGTGAAGGTTGTTGCACAATAACTTCCCACACACAGATAATTTCTGACAGTGAACTTGACTTCAACACATTTTATCTGTTTACTTGTGTCTGTGCAGTTACAACAGCTTGCTGGATGTGATGCTGGAAGTCATATCACAGAGACCTGAGCGCTACAAGATCATAGTCGCCTCTCACAACGAGGAGTCAGTGAGACGAGCTGCCAAACGGTTAGACCACATGAAGTAAAAATCATATGGGACTTGATGTCATTTACACTAGATAACTATTATATCTGAGAGGGTACATACAGGGCCACTATAATGAAATATTTGTCTCTGGTCTGGTCTGATCTTACCTTCACTTGAATGTCACTTGATGCTGCTGTGTATTCATGGTTCCGAACCTTTTTGACTTGTGACCCCATTAAACAATTTATTATTTCCTTGTTTTTTTAGAATAATTTGAGTCCCTTTAACTGTGAAATAAATCAGTAATTTACAGAAAACAAACTAAACATTGGAGAGAAGTCTAAAGAAACCTTGTGTAGCATTCATTTGTTTTTCTGATTCCTTCTTCTGTTAAAGGGGAACTCTGATTTTACTCATTAAAATCTGTTGACAGGTCATGGGAAGTACTGCATTATGAAAAGTTGTAGCCTACAAAGTTTTTTGTGGCTCCAAGAGGAAGCTGCACAAAATCTGATAAATTGCCTCAAGTGACATGACTTGAGTAAGCATTGGTTTAGGGCAGACGACAACAAGTTTGAAAATATAAAGAAAATCTGGAGTGGAGTTGGAAAAAAGTGAGCTTACCAGGCCCCTGTAGCTCACTCCTCAACACTGGTTTGAGGGCTAGATAACACACCCGAATCTCTGACTGAACTGTTGGCAGTCGAGTTGCACTGTGGGTAATGTAGGCGTTAGTCTTTGAGAAGGAATAAGAAAGTGTGGCATAATAAAGACAGCACCTCTGGTTCTGTTGCATCAATTTTGATTCTATTTTTTAAAACTGTACTGACTAAACTGTAGGAGTACAATGCAAAATCAGTGAAGTACCCCTCAAATTTATCTTGCCATCTCTAGTGGGGGTCTCGAGCCCCAGGTTGGGTACTACTGCTGTGTAAGATGTGGCTACTGTGCATTTCATTTTCAGTATGGAGGAGTTGGGGATTGACAAAGATGGAGGCTCAGTGTGTTTCGGCCAGCTGCTGGGCATGTGTGATCACGTCTCCCTCACACTGGGTGAGTTTTGCCTCAACTGGCATCCTTTACATTTACATTTTACACTTTAAGAAGTGTCTTATTCAATGACACATGACTGCTTTAATGACTGAACATGCAAACTTTCAGTTGTAGGACAGCAGCTCTGGTCACCCAAACTCTCTTCATTTTAAAACTGCTATGGATGCTGAAATTACCCACCTTCTCACCCAAAATCATAAAGTGATGCTGTACCAAAACTAATTCTGGTGTTAAGGGTGTATTTGTGTGGGAAATATCCTCCACATGTGGCAAGTGACAAAAATAGCCTAGGTATTATCCCATTTAATCCCACCAGTCACATTTGTTATTTCTGAAGCTCTAAAAATTGTATTGTTGGCTTTGGGCAAGAAATTCAACTTTTAAATGAAAAAATAGATTGTCTTGATTAAAATTGATCATTATCATCATTATGATTATCATGTGACTAGTGTGAAAGGTCACATGACCAGATTAGTTTACTTCCTTCTTGCACACCTGGAAGAAGATGTCTTCTTCAGACTACTACAAAAAGTAGTAAGTAAAACACCTTAATTAACAGATAGAATTGTCATATTTTGTACATATATTCTTTTAAGTGTCTACTACTGATATGTTTTGGGAATTATACTTCTGCATATATATTTTGCTCGTAAGAGGTGTAAATTTGTTAACGGTCACAATTGAAAACACAGGTTTTGGCTGTGACCCTAGTTATCATCTGTTTATTTTTACACATTTTGAAACTATCAGATGTGTTGGACCTCCTAGACATACGAGACCCCCTAAGTGCTGTGTGCAGCATCATGATCATTTCTACATTTGAAAAAGTAGGATTTGAAAGTGACAGTGATGGCTCAGATAGGTGGACTATTGAATGGCAATATCTGGAGGATGAGATGATTTATTAGCAGTCCTGATGATTATTAGCCTATGTTCACATGCTGTCTTTCATCTCTCCATGTCTCCCTCCTCCAGCTAAGGAGGGTTATGCCGTATACAAGTCAGTGCCGTATGGCTCAGTGGAAGACACACTGCCCTACCTGGTGCGTAGGGCTCAGGAGAACCGCACCGTGTTGCAGGGAATCCGCAAAGAGAGGGACCTGCTTAGGCAAGAGCTCTACAGGAGACTGAGTCTGAGGGGAGGCAGCTAATAGGCCACCAGCCCAGAGGGAAATCAGAGAAGAGGCACTGGTGTGGTCACATTAAGGCTCCCAATCAGGAAATGATGAAGAATAAGGAAGACACATGAGAACACTGTTGGGCAAATGAACAACATTAAAGTTTAATTTCATGTAGGCTTACACTTACACTATCTGTGAAGTGTTTATATGAAAGTTATAAAATAAATTTACTTGCAATTGGTAAAGTAGCTTTGATCTAAATAACTGTGTGCAACAATATGTTGCTTTATTAGTTTGATGGACAGCTTATAAAAATCCATCCATCCATCCATCGTCAACTGCTTATCCTGCGTACAGGGGCTTATAAAAATATGCATTTCACATACGTGTAATTTTTCTGATGCACAATAGAAACAGTAGTCAGTATATTTTGTTTTATAATAACAAACTACATAAATGTATGAGATAATACATGATGATCCAAAACCTGGTAATGACAGCGTTGAAAAGGTTCAGTGTGGATTTAAAAAACAGATTTCCACCAGTTCTTTTAACGATTAAACTTCTCAAGCTGCTCTGAAGCAACAACTAATTAGTAACAAGAGAACACCATGGTGGTGAAACAAGGACCTACTTTCTTTGCTAGTTAATCTGTGCCTTTGAGTCTCACTGATGTTTGGCTGCTTTGACTTATTTACCGTCTGTGGTGATTTTATAAATATCAGTAAATACATTTAGAGAAAAAAAAACTGTTCAAACAAGACGGGGAAAACTATCATGACAAAGGCTATTTGTGGGTTTCTTTTGAGTTGCCTAAATAAACAGCTTCTTAATTTTTAAACCTTCATTCAGAAATATTACTGATTGATTCTGTACTGTCCCCAACATAGATGTACAGGATTTGAAGCCAGGGAGCAGTTCCTGAGTTTCTATCGCGTAGAAAACCAGAGATATAAAGGTTATACAGACCTTGTTCATGTTTTCTGCATCTTCAAAAGAGTGATTATCAAAGGAGCCTGTCTTTTGATATTTCAAAGCAAATTCATCTAGTAATTGACAGACTCTGACCAATGACCTTTTAACATTTTGTTTTTCTTTTGGATTGAAAGAGCATGCATGTTTACCTATGTAGTTCAGCAATCCAACCATGTTACATAAAAGGACATTCAAAACACAGTTTTATAATATTTTATTGATAGTATAAGTCAACAATACTTGATGTATGTCATCTACTGCAACAAGCCAGCCGCACTGCAATGCCTTTCTTATACCTTTATCAATAATAAAAACCTTCAAAACTCTATACCACACTGTGCAGTTGCAGTGAGAAGGGCTTGTAGTGCGATAACTGTCAGCTGTTTCAGGATCAGCGGAAAGTTTTGGGTCAAATGAAGGAGAACAGCACACAGCCAAGCGCTGAGCACAGAAACCAAGGTTGTTATCATGGAATGAAGACTAGTTCAGGTGAAGATACTGAAATCCATATGTTCCAAGCTCAGTAGTTGCTTTGATTTTGATTTCTATAGCCACCTCGCTGGTAGCCCCCTTGGTAGCCTCCCTGGTAGCCCCCCTGGTAGCCTCCCTGGTAGCCCCCCTGTTTCTGCTGGTAACCACCTTTCTGATCTGTGAACATGCAGAGAAAAACACGGTTATCCACCAGCATCGACATGGCAGCATTTCAGATGACCGATGAAAATCATTCTACTTGACATTATTTAATTTCAAATGCAACAACCTAAAAATAGACTGAGCTGCCTAAAGCGTCTTCAGAACTGCTTATCGGTTGTTGGATTAAGGAGATTGTATAACGTACAATGACAACGTGTAACTTTTGGAAATCGTGGCCGGCGTTCCGCTCTGCCTTCCATTGTGGCCGTTCGGAACAACTATAAGCACTTTTGATTTCTGACTTGGTTTAATCAACACGATGTACAAACTACTTTTGTTCGACCCTTAACGTTAAACTTTAACATTTAATGCATTACAAGTAAGTTAGTGTATAATTCAAACAAAACTCAATAATAGCTGTAAATTGAATTTTTGTAGCCACCTCGCTGGTAGCCGTCCTGGTAGCCTCCCTGTCTCTGCTGGTAACCACCTTTCTGATCTGTAAACATGCAGAGAAAAACACGATTATCTACCAGTCTCCCCATCGCAGCATTTCATCAGATGACAAAGAGAAAATCATTTTACTGACATTCTTTTAATGGTTTACACACAATTTCAAATGCAGCAACGTAAAAAATTGCCCGAGCTACCAAAAGCTTCTTCAGAACTGCTTTTCAAATATCGGATTAGGGAGACTGTAACGTTATACAATGACAACGTGTATCTGTAACTTTCAGAAACCGTGGCCGACATTCCACTCTGCCTTCCACTGTGGCTGTTCGGAAAAACTATAAGCACTTTTGATTTCTGACGTGGTTATACAAGACGATGTACAGACTAGTTCTTTGCCTGTTAATGTTACCCTAACATTTAATGCATTACAAGTTAGTTACTGATTAAATGCAAACAAATTCAGTAGTTGCTTTGATTAGAATTTCTGTAGCCACCTCGCTGGTAGCCTCCCTGGTAGCCTCCCTGTTTCTGCTGGTAACCACCTTTCTGATCTGTGAACATGCAGAGAAAAACACGATTATCTACCAGTATCCACATGGTAGCATTTGATCAGTTGACAGAAAAAATTATTTTACCTGAGATTCTTTTCAAAATCAAATAAAGTTTATTGTCACACACAGTACAATGTCTAGTGAAATTCACTCTCTGCATTTAACCCATCCTAAGTACTAGGAACAGTGGGCAGCTACCGTACAGCGCCCAGGGACCTCCAATTCTCAGTCAGCGCCTTGGTCAGGGGCACTGACCGGAGAATTAACCCAACATGTTTTTGATGGTGGGTGAAAACGGAGCACCCAGAGGAAACCCACGAAAACACGGGAGAACATGTCAACTCCACACAGAAAGGCCTGGGACAACCGAGGTTTGACAGGGACCTTTTTGCTGTGAGGCCAGTGCTGTCCACTGGGCCACCATTTCAAATTTAACAACCTAAAAATAGCCTGAGCTTCCTAAAGCGTCTTCAGAACTGCTTGTCGGTTGTTGTATTAGGGAGACTGTATAATGTTATACAACGACAATGTGTGTCTAACTCTTGGAAACCATGGCCGGCTTTCCACTTCCACTGTCGCTGTTCGGAACAACAACAAACACTTAAATTTCTGACTTATACAACGTGATGTACAAACTAGTTCTGTTTAACTAGTTTAACATTAACCTAACATTTAATGCATTACAATTTAGTTACTGATTAAATGCAAACAAACTCGTCATTAACATCGTTAAAAGCAGCAATGAATAAACAGCACCCGCCCCTGCTGAAGTTCAGAGGCATGCTGGCTTGGGAAGGTCACCATGTGGTCAGACATAGAAAGTACAACCTCAGAACATACCTCTCTGGTAGGACTGCTTCTGTTGGTAGCCACCTTTCTGATCTGTAAGGCAAAGAACTATCAGTTATTATTGTTTCTAAGAAAGCACTATTCAATAGCCTTGGAGAAGTGCTTTAATGTGAATTTGGGACACTGACCAACAGGGTGGATTAAGTCTAGCTAAACTCACCTCTGTTGAAATAGCCTCCATAGATGCCCTGTTTGAGGTCGAAGACGCGCTCGTTGTTCTCAACCAAGCTGCCCAGTTTCTCAGCCAGCTGCAGGGCCATGTTCTGCAGGGAGGTGGGCTCTGTGCGGTGCATCACTACAGTCTGTGTAGGCTGGTCGAGTGATGCCTGATTGGAAGCAGAGGGAAAAAAGTAAGAACACTTTTATTGGTGAGGGGAAAAAAGAAAATCCCAAACGAAAACTGTATTTGTATATGTGAGGATTCAGTGGGTATCCTATCCGAGACATTCTGTCTCATCTCCACAGATTAAATTTCACTACAACAGAACAGGGAAGCCACGAAACTTACCATCAGCTCCTCGTTGATGATCATTTTGCTGATGATGCTGTGAACTGTGGGTATCTCCAACTCAAACATCTCAGATAGAGTCTGCATGCTGGAGGATGGATGAAAAAATTGTAACACTATTTTATCTCCCCAGTAAAAAAATCTGAAATTGAGGTTAAGCTTCGATTGATCTTTGTTTCCAATAACACTTGTAGGGAGAGCGACACCTGAGATCAGAGCTACAGTATTTCTGGTATAAGTGGATACTAACAAAGCATACTGGTCTGCAGAAACCAGTGCTTTAGAAACGTCGGTCGCTAGCACTGTTAAAAAAGTTGTGTACCTGATTGAGTCGTATACACTGCTATATGTGAACAGATAAGTCCTCAGTGACTCCTCTTGGATCTTCCTATAAAAAGGAAACACAATCAGGAAATTCATAAAATGATAAATGAATTAGCAGCACAATGAATGTATATTTGTATATAATTGAATTGTCAGACTAAATCATCATGGTATGAACTGAAATATTCATCTGAATGTTCACTGTAGTATAAATTGATATAAAACTTGTGTTTTAATTCCTCAAATCATTAAGACATAACCTGTGACAAAAACTAAGTCACAACAGCTTCCTGAAAAGATGGATGATAAGAAGTTTCTGTATGCCAACCTGACAAGCATCTCCCGTACTCGCTGCGTCTCGGGGAACAGGTCCCAGACTTTACTGTTCATCTTTTCGTTGATGATGAATGAGTGGCAGGTACGCCAGTCTCCCATCTTCATGGCCTTGCTGGCCGCCACCACATGCTCCCTCATGCTCTCTGGGGGCCCTGTAGGACAAACGGAGAGCTACAGTCAACCTCTCAGTTTTCTCTATGGATTAAACACCCTGAGGTGAAGAGTTGTTAGGCTGCATACCCAGCAGTGGCTGTCTCTCTCCCACCCTGAGCTGGTGATGGAACTGCTTGCTGATCATCCTGCGGCGGGCATCAAACTCGTGGGCGGCCATGTAGGGGATTTCAAGAAGCATGGCCGACACCAGGTACACACACTCCAGCAGCTCCAGGTTGATGTGCATGTGGAATGGCACCTGTGAAGGAGGTCGAAGCAATGTTATGATAAAGTTGTCAAGTTTTGTTCAACATCAAGTCGTTTTGTCCTCGTCAAAATTTAAGTTTCTCATTTATTCATCAAAGATGGATTAGCAGGTTACAAACAAGAAAGACTTAACGTGACATGAGTTTACTGCTAAGTAGGACTTACTTGTCTTCTCTTTTCAATCTTCTCCTGCTCT